AAAAAACTACTTCAAGAAACCATAAGAAGTCTACATAAGTGGAAAAACATACCATGCTCATGGATAGGAAGACTAAACATTGTGAAAATGTCAATTCTACCCAAAGCAATCTGTACATTCAATGCAATCCCAATCCAGATCCCATCAACATTCTTTAAGGATATGGAAAAAAAAAAAAAAAAGCCACAATCATTAATTTTATATGGAAAGGAAAGAGACCTCAGATAAGCAAAGCACTATTGAAGAAGAAGAGAAAAGTAGGAGGTCTCACACTCCCAGATTTCAAAACCCACTATACAGCCACAGTAGTCAAAACAGCTTGGTACTCTTACAATGACAGACACATAGACCAGTGGAACTGAGAACCCAGAAACAGATCCATCAATCTATGGTCAGCTGATTTTTGACAAAGGGCTGAAATCCATCAAATGGGGAAGAGATGGTCTCTTTAACAAATGGTGCTGGCAAAACTGGATATCCCTTTGCAGAAAAATGAAACAAGATACACCATACACAAAAACTAATTCCACATGGATCAAAGACTTAAACTTGAAACCTAAAACTATAAAGTTCCTCTAGGAAAAATTAGGGGCAAATTTAGAGGCCTCCATTTATGGCATAAATAGACTGTCAAGTATAGCCCAAAATGCATAAACAGCTGAAGATAAACTAGATGAATGGGACCTTCCAAAAAATTAAATTTTTATGTGTTTCAAAAGACTTCTCCAAAAGAATAAAAAGAGAATCTACAGATTGGGAAAAAATGATTCAGCAATGACATATCTGACAAGAGACTTATCTCTAAAAATTTATAGAAAACTCCAACACCTCAACAACAAAAAGACAAAAAATCCAATTAAAATAAGAGCAGAAGCCATGAATAGACACTTCACCAAAGAGGATATTCAGGGGGCCAACAAATACATGAACAAATATCATGATGATTAGCTATTAGAGAAATGCAACTCAAAACAACAATGAGATACCATCTCTCCCCAGCACTAATAGCAAAATCCAACAAGACAGAAAATAACAAATGCTGGCAAGGATATGGAGAGATTGGGACTCTCATGCACTGCTGGTGGGACTGTAAAATGGTACAACCACTGTGGAAAGTAGTATAGCAATTCCTTAAAAAGTTGGAATTAGAAATATCATTTGACCTAGCCATTACACTACATCACTAAGAAGTGAGAGCCAGGACAAGGACAGATATATGCACACCCATGTTCATCGCAGTGCTATTTACAATAGCCAAAAGATGGAAACAACTTAGGTGCCCATCAACAGAAGAATGGATAACCAAACCATGGTACTTACACACAATGGATTATTAAGCAACCCTAAAGAATAATGTAAAATCAGCAAAACACTACATAATGTGGATGAACTTGGAGGACATTATGCTGAGTGAAATAAGTCAATCACAGAAGGACAAATATTGTATTAGTCTGTTATTGTAAAAAGTCAAGGAAAGGTTTATATATGGAAGAGAATTTTCTTTGTTGGTTACCAGGGGTGGGAGGGGAGGGAGGGAACACTGTTAGATAGGTAGAGATGAGTATTGATGTGGGTGAAGAGAAGGGCAATGTACTAAATGTGAGTGATCAACATGGTGGCATTGAGGAAGAGGAAGACATAGAGGGATGCATGGGAGGTACAGACAATGAAGATGAACCCTTTTGCACATACAGGACTGCATTGCCAGTGAAGACAAACATGGGTATATGGGTGGATAGATGGGTGGATAAGCTGAACTATTAGGTATGTCTATGCAGGGGGGAGTATGCCCAGGACTATGTATAGGGTTGGCAGACAATGTTTCTACAAGTGTATTGGTATGTTCTGTAAGAATTCCCAGATATATGGTAGAGCAGACAAGGGACAAGTTTGTAATCACTTCTTGGTCACAGCCAGCTACCCAGAGGGAGTGAGTAGTTGGACCTGTGGGCTCAGGACCACAGTCTCAGGGGACATCAAGCTCAATTGGCATAACATACTACCCACATCCTACTTTGGTAAGTAGTGACTAGGATCTTAAAAGCTTGCAAATGGCTGTCTAGATGCAACAATGGGTCTCTTCTCATCTCGAGCAAAGAAGAATGAAGAAAACCAAAGACACATGGAAACAATTAGTCCAAGTGACTGGTAAACAATGTGATCCTCAGCCTATGTGACTGTGAGATCAGAAGAACTAGATGGTGCCCTGCTACCACTGTCAACCACTTGGAGGGGTATCTCTGTAGGAGATCTTGGATAGAGTGGGAGAACAATGTGGAACAAAATCAAAATCATTGAAAAAAAAAAGGTTTGCTGGCCTGCTAGAGGCTGATGGAACCACTGAGAATATGACCCCTAACTCCCCTTCAGGTCTGAAATTCAACCCACTCCTGTGGCATCCAGTCAAACAAAAGACAGGCATATTAGCTCAATATTTATGTTAGGTAGACACACACCTTGGAGAGATCAATCATGGGGGAATAGAAGGGCTGTGTATGCGCAGGAAGACAGCTGGGGGCCAGGGATGCATGGGAAGAAAGGACACAGGGAAGAGGTAACTCTGGGGAAGAAGTGGGAGGGGAGCTGTTGCATTGTGGGAAATTGCAGTCAATGTCCTGAGACAAAGTATATGTGAGGTGCTATATAGAATGTGCGAGCTCTGGTAGCATAGTGGCTAAGACACTTGCCTGCTAACCAGACGGCTGGCGGTTCAAACCCACCAGCCACTCCTCGGAAGGAAGGTTGGACGATCCTACTATCCGTAGTGATACTGCCTCGGAAACCCAAGGAGGGGTCGCTATGAGTCGGGGCCGACTCAACGGCACATAACAACAACAACAACATATAGAATGTAGGAGCTCTGGTGGCGTAGTGCCTAAGGCATTTGACTACGAACCAGAAGGCTGGCAGTTCAAACCTACCAGCCACTCCTTGGAAGGAAGGTTGGGCAGCCTACTTCCGATACTGCCTTGGAAACCCAAGAAGTGGTCATTATAAATCAGATCCGAATGGATGGCAGCAAGTTTGGTTTTTGGTTTTGGTATGGAAAGTGAACTTGCTCTGTAAACTTTCACCCAAATCACAACAAAAGTTAAAAAAAAAAAAAAAAAGAGAGAGAGAGAGAGAAGAGGAAGAGGTGAGTGAGACTATACTAGAATTAGGTTAGAGAATTGAAGGAAGGAGGAAAACAGCAAGGAAAGGGGAGGACAAGTGTGATACAAATAATGAGGATGGGGAAGGAGAAGACACAATCATCTGAGAAAATAAGACTTAATCTTAGAGTGGTGGGTAAGAATTAAAAAAGGAGAGGACCTGGGAGGAGCAGGAGGCCAGGGGGAAAATGAGGGTATAGACCAGAGAAGTCTCCAAAAAAATTCCTTGGCCACTGGCGCCTGCAGACTCTAACTTCCCTCATTGTGAGCGTCTTTCCACAGAGCAGGAGGAAGGGTGGTTCTGGTCCGAAGTCCCCATATGAACTTGTAGTTACTATAAAGGAAACCCCCCTTCATGAGACACCCATGCGTGAAGGACTCCGGTATCCTTCTTGTTGCTGAAGAGCTAAGTGTGAAGGGAGATAAGTTGCTAAAGCAATCACGCAGCTGACAGTGAACTGGAGTGAGGTGGCTGTGGTGCGGGAGACGGTGGTGGGTGTGGCGTGCGCCTGAGGCCTGAGAGCGCCTGCTCACACAGGGAGGAAAGTGGTGTCCAGAGACTCAGACAGACAAGGGTATTTTTATATCAAAGGAGCAACCCAGGAGGCGGCCAAGACCTCAGAACTCAGATGACTGGGATGTCCGAAAAGCAAGGGTCCTGAAACCGAAGCACGTGCAGCCAGAGCAGCAGAAAAACGCGATGGAGGGAGGTGGGCACGAGATCGCGAAGACCACCGAAAAGATTCGGTAAAAGCGGATGCGGTACGGAGAAAACTGACCTTTTGCAGCTCCATCCACTCAGTCACGGCACCAGAGACCCGCTGGGGCAGACCAGGCACTCCCGCGACACTCACTAAAACCCTCCTGGAATTCGGCGGAGGACCGCAAGGAACCCCACTCACCAGAAGCAGTGCCCAAGGAATCAAGAGAGGCAGCTCCAAAAAGGACCAGCAGGACGCCGGCCACCCACATCACGTTCAAATCCGCAGCAAGTCAGAGCAGGGGCCGAGCTTCGCGATCCAGCAGCTCAACCTGCAGGTAAAAGCTGGTGAAGGTACCACCCGCGTACCCGGTGAAGTCAAGGTTTCACTGAGAGTGGATTGGACCTGATCCATAATATGCGTCCCGATGGGAAGTTCTATTCGTCAGTCACCCAGGGGAAGAGTCAAAACTTCTGTTTTCGGGGCGAAAGAAAACTCAGCCCAAAACTCAGACGCAAGTCCAGATCACCTCCACCTTCCCTTCAAAGGCGACTCCCCGCCCTGCAGAGCAAGGCTGGTCTCCCCAAGTTCCTTTACCTGGAGCCCTCACCAGGCTGCTCGCGCTCGCTTTATCATTCAGGACTAACACCAAGAGAACACCGCAAGTCATTTTCCCGATACATCCACCCTTTGCCACGCCCAACCTGACTGACAAGGTCACCCGACCCGTTTCCAGATTCCAGCCATCCTTGCCTCTCAGAAGTACCTTCCACAGTTGGATCATCACACTCCAAACTCCCTTACGCGTTTCAGCCACTATAATCTCCTTCTCCTCTCAATGACTCCCAGTTTCAGCCACGACTCCTTGCTTCAAGGCTGGTGTCTGTGCTCAACAGGGCGGCCTCTCTATTCAGCTCCTAGCAGGGGCTTCACTAGGAGGGTGCGAAGGTGTGAGGATCGCACTCCTTGACACTGTCAGAGAGGGTGACAGCAAAATAATTCCAAGCTTCGCGGCGGTGGCACTCACCACTAAGCGAAGAAGGGCTCGGTGCCTTGAGGACAGGACAGTTGAGAGCCGAGAAGTTGCTGGGAGCGGATCAGATTGAGGTGATTCATCCGCCAGCCCCGCCCACCGGAGGATAGTTTGAGTCACCGAACCCAGTGAGACTTCTTCAATAGCTGTTCCCTTCCCTGTTACTCTTAACAGCTGCACCCTCCTCTGTCCCTTCTGACTTCCCCTCTCCTGCCTCTCACGTATTCAAAGGCCACTCCTCCACCCCTTTTCCAGCCCCTTTGTCCCCACCCCAGTGCAGGCTTTCCTCTCCCTTCAGCCTAGAATACTGCACAGGATCTTTAACACAGTGCCTGCACCCAGAGGAAACCACAGTGCCCCAAAGCCATCTACAGCTCCCCGTCTGCTGAATTTAATACAAAATCCTCTACTGTACCATGGAAAGTCCAGCACAACTGTACCAACTTGTGGTCTGGCACCATTCCTCATTTCTCCTAGTTTACTGTCAAAATGGACTCCCTCAATCTTACCCTAAACACCAGGATGCCACTGCTCAAGCAATCTCCCTCTGTGGAATGTCGCCACCTCTGCCTTCTGACCCATTGTCAGATCTCTCCATATTCTTCTTTTCTTTTCAATTGTGAAAACAGATCATTCATTTTATTTGGAGCTACAAAAGGACTGAAGTATTGGCAGGTACTTTAAAATAACTGTGAGCACACTTGCCACATCATAGTATAATCACACATTTACTGTTATGCATTTTCCATACTTCTTGAAGTCAAGGAGATTTACTCACCACCATTAGACTACATGTACCATACTACATTTGCAGAGTTAGTGAATGATGGACAAATGCACTTTTTAACCTAGCACTTTTGCACACTATCTCAATTCTTTCAGCAATTATGGGCAGTTAATATTATTTGGATCCTATTTTTCATAGGAAGTTAACTGAAGCTGAAAGAGAGGAAGTGAGCAGCCCAACTTCACCCTCATGGTAAGCTGTGAAGTCAAGTGAGGACTTCCCCAGGTAAAGGCGGGTTGGGAACCCTAGGTGATAGACTTGGCCCTGATGTCCACCATTTCTGAACTCTCTTAATACTAAGCAAAATTGTTGTGGTTAGTTACTGTTGAGCTGGCACTGATTCATGGCAACCCCATGGACAATACAATGAAATATTGCCTGGTCCTGTGCCATCTTCACAGTCATGGGCATGCATTTTGTCCCACAATGTTTGTTGTGGACATTGTGTATTTGGAGTATCTTTTGAACTAGAGGGAGCTCTGGTGGCATAGTGCCTAAGGCATCTGACTGCTAATCAGAAGGCTGGCAGTTCAAACCCACCAGCTGCTCCTTGGAAGGAAGGTTAGGCAATCTACTTCCATAGTGATACTGCCTCAGAAACCCAAGGAGGAATCACTATGAATCAGAATTTACTCGACAGCAGCGAGTTTGGTTTGGTTTGATTTAGAAGACTCATCTTCTAGCACTATGTCAGGTAATATTCTATTGTGATCCATAGGATTGTCATTGGCTAATTTTTTAAAAGTAGATTGCCAGGCCTTTCTTCCCCCCTCCATTTTCTTAAAGATCGTCCTGCTTAGATCATGTTGATATTGCATGTCTTGTGAATATACTAAAAACCACTGAATTGTACACTCTACAGTGAGAGTTTTATAAAGGGTAAATTTTATCATTTGTGAAATATCTCTTACTTAATATTGTCATCCTAAAGCCGACCTCCACTGAAAGTTTTGCCTTATCTCCACACACCTCTCATAGACTTTGCAACATCTAGCCAGTGGTCCTCAAAAGTGGCTGTTTATTAGAACCATCCCGATACTTTTCATATCCTTAAGCACAGGCCACAGCCAAAATCTATTGAATCAGAATCCCTTGGTTTGGACCTTTGCCAATCACTTGTTGGACAGTTGGGATGGAGGTACTGTCTATCCCCATTTTTACAAATGAGGAAAACTCATTCTTCAAGAGATTGTTTTAATTGTTAGAGGTCACAGGGTAGTGAAGGACAGAGAGGGAGATTGAACCCAACTCTCCTGACAGTTGGTCTCAAGCCCTGTCCTCTTTAATAATCATCCTGCTCCAGGGGCCTTCGTAGGAGTGGCAGCTCCAGCAAACTCACTCAGCTTACCCCTCCCATACTTTCAATACTTTAACAGCTATAATATTGATAAGCTAGGTTTGTTCTAGGAGCTCTGGTACCATAGTGCCTAAGGCATTTGACTGCTAACCAAAAGACTGGAGTTTCAAACCCACCAGCCACTCCTAGGAAGGAAGGTTGGGCAATCTGCTTCCATAGTGATACCGCCTCGGAAACCCAAGGAGGGGTCACTATGAGTCGGGTCGACTTGACAGCACATAACAACAACAACAGGTTTGTTCTAAGGTATTTAGAAATGACTGCATCAAGAGATGGAGCCAAGTCTTCCTTTCTTTGAAGGTTCAGATTCTGGACTTGGAGGCAGAACCCAGCCAGGCTGTCTCTCCCCAACTCCAAGGTCAAGCATGGTACCAAGCCCTCTCCTTGCCAGTCTGCAGCCACTTTATTTCTGTCCAATAAACTCCTTTTCCTCCCTCCACTCTGCCTGGTGACCCTGGACTTACAAGCACAGAGGAACTGGACACCAGCTTCAATGGCCTTTAGTCACCAATGAGGGTTTCAGAAAGAAAATAAACCAGGCAGCACCTAGGCTTGCTTATGAAACTCAGGGCAGGCTGGGCTCGGATCCAGGGCTATGTGCTTGTTTTCCCCTCTGCCATGACACAGATCTCTTGGAGACTGAAGTTTTGAGTGGCTGGTTAAATATTAAAAGTTCCATTGCAGCATACTAAAAGCTCCATTTCAGCAAATGTCTCAGATATTCCAACTTGTCCAGTAATGTTCTGGTTTTACCCTAGTGATAATGTTTTAAATTTTATTTTTCCCTTGATGCTGATTTTTAAATAATTCTTGCATATTTATGACAATGGATTTGTACAGTAAGCCACCTCCAAACAACAGAGGAATTAAGGTAAGTAAATGTGTGGTTCTCCATTGAATTACAGTTAACACCATCTTAAAAATGTATGAACACTTTTCACATAGAAGCAGTATTCTATTTTCAGGTACAGTAGTCCCTAACTTATCATGGGGTTCTGATCCAATGACTCTGTCAATAAGTCTGTTCTGACATAAGTCAAATTCCTCTCTTTTTTTTTTTTTTAGAGAGAGAGAAAATACTAGAAATCTTTAAATATATTCTAAGCCAATAGC